GGGAAAGATGCAAGAGTACCTTTATCACTGTGCAATGTACCGTCCCTGAACGCGCGAACTTTAGACTACCTGATTTGTCTATTATAAATGCTTCCCATTTGAAAAGTATTATAGCCTCGACATTTTCGTATTAGGATTTTCGTCTTACTTTTTGCTCAGAAATACGCTATTAAAATTTCGGTCACGAGTTGCGGTACACCCTGTATATACATACAACCGGAAATGATTGGTCGATTTGACGTTGATCGACGTCGAATCGATGTCGATACGACCAATCATTTCCTGCTGAAAATGCTTTATATTTCTTTTTGGTAAAAATATTTTAACAGTTCAATCATGTTTTTTATATATTGTATTTATTAAATGTTTTTGTACATTTAACATTTAATATAATAACATTTAATATAAGTCGAGGTACGACTTTTGTTGCAAATGTATTAAATAATCTTCAAATGTTTTAAACAAACTTCAAAGTTAATTTTTTAGTGCTTATATGTATTCGAGTACAGTTTAACCCATTAGTGCATATGTCCAATATTTCACACATTGCAAAGGTCCACCCAGCCAGAAATGATCGATTAATTGGTTGAATCGATGTCATCAATCAATGTCAATCGACGTTAAATCGACGTCGATTCGACCAATCATTTCTGGGTGAGTTGCTTTGACGTTGAATCAATCTTGAATCAACAATGAAAGAGTGGTTGACATTGTAGGAATATCGACTTTTTTATCGACTCAACCAGCTGACAACCGTATCGACGTTGAATCAACCTTAGGCTTGTTTTCTGTTCCTACACTAGTGAACTAGTGCAATAAATTGGAGTAAGACAAGCATATTTTTTCTCATTCTAGCTTACTGCACTAGTTCACCAGTGCAGGAACAGAAAACAAACCCTTTGAATCAAGGTTACCTTTCTGACTAGGTAGGATCTAGTTACAGTTACAGTTTTTTTTGCTAAAACTGTAACTAGTTACAGTTACAAGTTACCAATTCTGAAAAGTAATGCGCTACAGATACAGTTATTAAAAAAAGTAATGAATAGTTACTTTACAGTTACTGTCTTGCAATAAAAATAAAAACATTAAATCTGTATTTAAATTGTAAAGCGTCGATAAAGGCGTTTATGCGCAGATGCAAGGCCTAAATGTAATCTGTAGAAGTTTAAAATATATATAAAGTTATTATTAATGAAACTATGAAATTAGTTACCAGTTATCGAAAAAATGTAACTGAGTTAAATTATAGTTACAAATGGAGAGAAAGTAACAAAGTTAAGTTAGATTTACTAAAAAACCGTAACTGTAACTTCGTTGTAACTAACGAGTTACTTCCCAACCCTGATTTCTAATATAATCAACATTGAACTAATATTAAACCAAAGCATTGTGCTATTAAGGTATTATTTTAAATTATTTATTAATGTTATATATAAAATCAATATAACATATAAAATATGAAAGAAATAACATTGAGATTAAATAAACATTCAATAAATGTTACCTAACTATTTTCTCTAAATCATTGTTACACTTGAATAATAATTGTTAAATAATAGTTTTGTACAATAAATTACACAATTCACAATTAATAAAAAGTATGTATTAAAAAAAGATTTCGAAAACATTGTTCACTGATTGGGGTATTGCGCGATAATAAGTACAATTAAATTAAATCTATCATCGCCAAATCGAACTAATTATGACAGTTTACTAAGTAAAATAATTGTATTTTTACAACTATTCAAGACATTGACTATTTTAACAAAAACGCAATACAAGAACTTTTCGTAGTGCAAATTTTAATTACTTGAAATGGTCGTTTCAAGTATATTTCAATTGCATACAATATTGAGTTTACTTTTATTTATCCATCGTCCATCATCACACGCAGTGTTGTGAAATAGGAGAGTATAGTCGAAAGATACTGTAACATAGAACAAAGTAAATGTTTGATAATACATAAAGATTCCATTGTAATTTTATTCGTATCTTTTTTATCTTCAAAGATATATTTTATCATTTTATAGTTAAAATATTTAGTAATAATAAAAACAAATATTAATAGAAAACTTGCAAACATATGGAATTGTTTCTGATGATGCTAAATACGTAATAAGGATGATGTGTATTAGTATCTTTAATAATTTTTTCAAATCAATTCGAAATTTGATCTTACTCTGGCATAATAATTAAAAGATAGTTGCGGCAGAAGACAAGGAATTGAAATTATTATAGGTTCTTGACATCGCATTATAATAAATTGCAGACGTTGCCATATTTGAATGAAATTACTCAAATGATTGTTTTTGAGTAAATTGAATGCTACATGTCCGACCTCATAGTTCTGGGGAAAAATAATAAATATTTTTAAAATTACAATTAATAGCACAAAATAAAATGGTAAATTTGAATGACAAGTAATTTACCGTACGCATCAAAAATTCTGCTGGCCACGTATACATAAATACTTCTACTACACATGCTGCAGCCATAACACAAAAGTGGAGTGAAACTAGTAGAGGTGGCTTCTATTTAAAAAATATTGATATATTGTAATGTTCTTATATTTTTGTGCTCTTACACTACAATTTTCAGATTTAATTTATCAAAATTATTTCCTCTTTGAAAAAGTAAATCAAGAATATACATATGTATACTAATTTGACGATGTATATATATATATATATATTGCATATACGTAATTTCTATTATAGGCTATTTTTGTTTTGTTTAAGTTGGTTTGATAGTCATAATATTTATGCATAAATTTAGCGGAAATAATATATATAAATAGTAAATTTTTATAAGATGGGTTACATGTACTTACTGTAATAAGCATAAGTAAAATTGTTATTAAGCTAACCGTGCTACAACATATTGATATAAATGCGAAAGGACGAGCAGCAATTGCAACTTCGTTTGCATACCTAAATAAATCAGCATTGCTTAAATCTTTTCAAATTGGAGGTCCTTTGGTGAAGATCTTTTTATAAAGAGGGCGTATTAAAATTTTTGTAACAACCGGTGATCGGAGAAAATTTTTTACTTAAAGAAGTCGAATAAATCCAAAATATCATAATTAACATTTTTTTATATTATAAAAGTTTAAACCTACGACGACCAAATCACAGAATCAAAGAAATATCTATATACATATATAATTTCAATTCTTCAAACTCCAAAGTTTTCAACAATTCCTTTTGTTCTAACTATTTGACAAGCATTTCTCTCATGTATCGGTAACCAGTACAACATATTTTAAAGAAATTCCCATAAAAAACAGTCAGAGAATTTAAATCAGGAGCAAAAGTCATAATAAATGTAGATCGAAATATTAGTATTTTTTAAGTTGTATACAGCTAGGAATTTTTGGAAGAGTTTGCAAATTTTATAGGGTACGTAAGGTGAGAAACATGTGTGGAAATGGGAGGAGGACATGTAAAGAACATTTTGTAAACCTCTGAGTTCAAAGAATTCTTCTCTTTTCATCTTCTGAATAAATGGAATTTATTTTAACCAAAATAAAGAATCACTAAGAAAAAATCGAAATTTTCATGGCGAGTCAGATAAAACTTTACGAGCAACAAATCCGGCTTGTGAGTCATAGAGAGATTGAGATCTCCTAAACTAGATTATTCCTATATTAGATAGATAAAAATTATTTTACGTACTTGAGTAGTTTTTGATGTGTTTTAATACATTTGCACAATGCATAGACATTTGTAACTGTCTTTAGTTCTTCAATTAGAATATCAAATCTTGCCGCTGTAAACCAGATCAATAAAGCCATATAAACATTTATACATAGTTGTCCTGATATAAAGAATCCGGCTGCAGTTTGTTGTACATAGATTATTGCTTTTAGCGGTTGATAAGACACATCGAATGGATATTTGGCTGTTGTTGGAAATGGTTGTTCCGTCACAGCAGGTAAGAATACAGTTACTATTGTTGCCGAGTAAAAAGTAATCAGAGATACTCCATACAACACGAAACATTTGTCAATATACCGCTGAATCACGATTTCTTCGCGTGGTTTCATTACGTTATTGAAATGTACCATTTCGTGAGTAACATTCTGTAAATAATTGCTGTTAATATTGAAATAATTGTTATTGATATACAGGGTGTCGGATTCGATTTGGACCACTCCAAAGATTATAGTAGATTGGGTCAAACTGAGAAGAAAAGTTATATACCATTTTACAAAATCCGTAATTATTATCGCGTAATTAAGAAAAACGTCTGAGCCAATAAGTGCACGGAGGAGCGGAAGGCCGGACTCGGCAGACATGCAAAATGGTGTATTTGTTGACATCTCTCAAGATCCGATAACGAGAGGTGGAGTCACGCATCGATCGATGAGTGACGGGGGCGAGCGGGGAGCGGTGAGCGGGCGAACGACGCGCAGCGAGAGAACGCGCGACATATGACACCGCGCCGAAAAAGTTTTTCTGGTGGTAGGAGAATAATACACCATTTTGCATGTCTGCCGAGTCCGGCCTTCAGCTCCTCCGTGCACTTATTGGCTCAGACGTTTTTCTAAATTACGCGATAATAATTACGGATTTTGTAAAACGGTATATAACTTTTCTTCTCAGTTTGACCCAATCTACTATAATCTTTGGAGTGGTCCAAATCGAATCCGACACGCTGTAGAAGATATAGAGGTAAGAAACGTGAATGTGTAAGCAATTTGCGTATGAATCTTTCAATATTTCCTATAAACGCATGATGGTATTTGAAATGTTTATTAAATTCAGTTAATATAAAAGTCAGTCTAAAAGTGTTACCACTCTTATACTACTTTGCGTTTAATGTGCCTGTTCGCGATGGTGCAATGAATTTTGAGAGGTTGTACAAAGTATTGGTTTATTGCTTAAATAGATAACAATAGATAGCAACACAAGTAGGAAATGTGGTACGAAGTATTTTGCAAGTTTACGAAACTGGCGACGTTCCATGATAGAATACAGTGTAAGATATACATGGAATGCAGTATAACTTCTCGAAATTCCTCTCGCATTGCGACGCCGCTCGCGTTAAATTACAGGAAATATTGAACAATACCACCGTGTGCTTATAGGATTTAACGGATAATTGATTACCTGTATGTGATGGTAATTAATTTTATAAAAAATGAAATTAGCTATGGTATGGTAAAGGCCGCCTGTCAGAGTAGTCATTTGTACTATATTAAGAGGATTGTTAAGACTATATATGAAACCATATGTCATTGGTGCCGCTAGACACGCAACCGTGGCAATACAGAAATAATGATACAGTTTTATACAGAATATCTGAAATTTTGTCGCATTTCGCTCTAACGGCCAACAGCAAATTGGAGTCACACTTAATTTCACGGCGTAGATCACGTCCTTTAGCAACAACTTTTTTCGCATGGCTGTAATGCGCGATGTATTCTAACGTATTGCAAGTTGATGATACGAGAAAGAAAAACCCTTTCGCGAGCCGTTACATAATGAATGCTCCGCGTATTCGCTACCATATTACGATGAAAGGGTTTAGCAAAGGGGTGTTGCTGTATAAGTGTCGAAGAATTCTTATTACCTTTTTCCGTATCGTGTAGGGCGTACATAAATAAAATTATGATTAAGCATGTATGTGAGAGACGAATCACCTTGCGTGTGTGAATTTAGTAAGCCGTAATATTTCTTGCCGGCAAAAGAGCTAGGAAATGGGTACATAAGTGAGGCATCTCTATAATTTCCGAATATATGTAGCTAAGGTATTTATGCATACTTTAGATAAAAAAAGATTTTTGTATGATATCCTGGATATACTATGTATGCTATTGTATTCACGTGTTAAATATAGTAGTACTACTTTGCTTTCTTACGTTATAGCCGGAGAGCTGGTGAACATTTTGTTAAGGTTGTTTTATACAAGCTGAAATTTTGTAAAAAGTTATTTTTTCCCTACCTGAATAAGGATTTCCCAACCTGCCTGGCCAGCGTTGGTTAGAAGTGCACCCATAATTTTTTCAAAGTGTAAAAAAATGTTGAAACCAACGTGATGTGTACAAGTTGAAATTTGAATATATAAAAATTTTATACTTTTTTGAGTAAGAAAAAAAAGGGCAGGCGTCCTGGTTGGTTCGAACCTAGTGGAAGGCGATCGTAAAGTTGTATTATTAGTGGTGGTACTTAACTTTTATTTCATAAAGGTATTTCATAGCATCAGAAACATGTTGCAATTTTTACAATGTGTTTCTAATGCTATAAGAGTAATGTATGTTGAAAGCTAGGCTGATTTAACAAATAAAACAGTATGAAAAGTATAGTAAATAATGTTTTCCGTGAGTGCGACGGAGAGAAAATTATGCAGACGTGCGCGCGAGAGAAAGAGAGAGCGTATATGGAAGATGCATAATAGTAATACATATGATATTAAAAAAGTATAAGAGTAAATGATGCATATTTATTTAATACACTGTGTTGGATATACATATAGAAAATAGAAATGTATCTATTATATTGATGTTTTTTTAATCAGAAATATAAAAAGACAATAAATCAAATTTCAGAAGCGTAATTCAATAAGCAAAAATAGTTAAGGAACAGTTATTGAAAAAAGTAAAAAAGAAATGAAAAATACAGACTATACATATACATATAGTCTGATTAAAAAAACGTCAATATAATAGATACATTTCTATTTTCTATATGTATATCCAACACAGTGTATTAAATAAATATGCATCATTTACTCTTATACTTTTTTAATATCATATGTATTACTATTATGCATCTTCCATATACGCTCTCTCTTTCTCTCGCGCGCGCGTCTGCATAATTTTCTCTCCGTCGCACTCACGGAAAACATTATTTACTACTTTTCATACTGTTTTATTTGTTAAATCAGCCTAGCTTTCAACATACATTACTCTTATAGCATTAGAAACACATTGTAAAAATTGCAACATGTTTCTGATGCTATGAAATACCTTTATGAAATAAAAGTTAAGCACCACCACTAATACAACTTTACGATCGTCTTCCACTAGGTTCGAACCAACCAGGACGCCTGCCCTTTTTTTTCTTACTCAAAAAAGTATGAAATTTTTATATATTCAAATTTCAACTTGTACACTTCACGTTGGTTTCAACATTTTTTTTATATTTTGAAAAAATTATAGGTGCACTTCTAACCAACGCTGGCCAGGCAGGTTGGGAAATCCTTATTCAGGTAGGGAAAAAATAACTTTTTACAAAATTTCAGCTTATATAAAACAACCTTAACAAAATGTTCACCAGCTCTTGGACTATTATCTTAGTTTATCTGTGGTACACATAGGATCGATTTTTCCAATTACTTGGGAAGATAAATAATAGTTAAATTAAACGTCTATCTTTGCTTAAATTGAAGGAGAAATAAAGACCTATATATGATTTTACTATTAGTTACCAAAAGGTTGAAACAAGTGTACGCCCTCAGTGTACGTTTTATTGCGATTATAAATACTGTGCAATAAAGTATTCTTATCGTTTTTTCAATGCACAACGGAATTTTTCATTTTGCGCTACATAGTAATTTCATCGAGGAAATATTCCTTCGGCGAAAGAAAATAAATGCGTATGTAGGATGTAATACTGTTTCACTCAAATGATATACGTACGATACAATAGTTTTTAAGAATAAATTGCGCTCACGCAACATTCGCATGTTATAGTTTTGAGAAAAGGTGCGATTTAATAGTAGGAGAAAATTAGTCAATTAGTTTATACATCGTATTATGATAATAAGTTAAGTATTACAAATGTAACAGGTCATGAACAGAGATTTTTCTTGTTAAATTATAAATAACTAAAAGAATAAAAATTGACTGACTGAGTAATTTATATTCTCTGCCAAGTTTACTTTGGACAAAATAGAATAAAGGGAGGAGAATAGTCTAAAACATAAGAAAAGTAATATTTAAAGTTTTTTAACTAAGTATATATTATTATAAGATGAGGGAAAATATTTTCTTCTCAATGTAGATATAAAAAATTTAATATACATATAAATAAACAAAAATGAAAAAATATCCGGCATGTTTACATATTTATTATTATATTTAAGATACTTTTATAATTCACATATTGCAACAACGTTTGGCGTTTTACAATAATTTATACAATTAAAGTTATTGTAAATATCAAACAGTGCATGTGCTGTCCGCTAATAATAAAACTAAGGTGGCTTGTAATGTGATAAAATTAATTTCATGTCAAATCAATTTTGGAAATAATGTAAAAGATAATTTATGCAATTAACATAAGAAATTTTTTTTTCGTGAGTCGTATGTCAATTAATATTTAATAATTTGTGTAGAAAGATATAAAAATATATCCATAGTTTCTAGTGCCAACGAGATCTTCTACTATGCAAATTATATCAATTTTTACGTAATGAAAAAGGAGGAATTTTCGCAAATTTAAAATTTAATTCTTGATTCCACTGTCCTCCACAAATACCATTCGCAACGTCATTAAATAAGAAAAAGCTGTTGATACATACTGAAATATGTGAAATAATAATATTAATATGTATTATTTGATTTAATGTGGAAAACATACAAAATTTTTACATTTATAAATTTTTACGTTATAAATTAGAAATGTTAAGAGCATTAATTGTATGTAGTCAATGAATTTTTTAATTAATTATTTCAATTTTTATTAAAATTTTTCATAAATTGTAATATCTTTTATAGACATTCTAAAAAATCGTAACATTTTGATTACTTGCAATGTTAAAAGTTACAACAGTAAAATATTGATTGTGTAAAAAGAAAGAATTCTTTTATGTTTAAAATCTTACCGATGCGTAATATTGTAATGATAAAGCTGGAAGGATAGAGGAAACAGAGACGGTCGTTGGTGTTTGGCTCCTCAGCAAGATAAAACATACATTTTTTTGAAAAATCTTATCTTGATTGTACCACAGAGAATCGTAAATGGCTCGCGCAACATTGGTGCTCTAATAAATAATACATATGTCATGTAATATTAACATTGTTAGAATAACATAATTGAAACTTAATATAGAAATTGGCAATTGTATGTATATGATAAATAATCTGGAACTCAATAACAGTACGTGATAAACATTTATAGTTTCATCATTTGGACTATGTCAATTTGCAAATGTTATTGAAATATAACTTACCGCATCTATTAAATGATCAGCTGGCCAAGCACACGCGTAAACTTCCATAAGTGCAGCTATGCATAATGTCATGAATTGTATCTTGTCCGTTAATGTACTTCGCTAAGTATATAATAATACTAAGATAAACAAAATGCATGCAGGCATATTCATACAGGGTGTCTGATGCAAAAGTAGCCAACTTGAAAATAGTGGTAGATTGGGTTAAACTAAGGAGAAATATCATGTGCCGCGGTACAAAAGTAACAATAGTTATCGAGTAATTAATTTGCACGTCTGAGCGAATGAGGATGCAGAATACGGTAGGCCGGACTCGGAAGGCATTTAAGAAAATCGATCGATGAGCGGGAGGTGGAGCGACGCGCGAGATACTATGGGCTTGTTTTCTGTTCCTGCACTGGTGAACTAGTGCAGTAAGCTAGAATGAGAAAAAATATACTTGTCTTACTTCAATTTATTGCACTAGTTCATCAGTGCAGGAACAGAAAACAAACCTTATGTTTATAGTATGTTTCGGGTCGCCCGTCGCTCGCGCTCGCTGCCGCGCTTGCCGCCTGCGCCGCGCTCCCCGCCGCGTCTAGGTTTTTTCCCACCACGGTGTATCTCGCGCGTCGCTCCACCTCCCGCTCATCGATCGATTTTCTTAAATGCCTTCCGAGTCCGGCCTACCGTCTCCCGCATCCTCATTCGCTCAAACGTGTAAATTAATTACTCGATAATTATTGTTACTTTTGTACCGCGGCACATGACATTTCTCCTTAGTTTAACCCAATCTACCACTATTTTCAAGTTGGCTACTTTTGCATCAGACACCCTGTATATGCAATCTTTTCTCCAGAAGAAATGTCGTTTTATTGTCGCAAAATAATGGTAAATAATGCAAAATAAATAGGTACTTACGCTTACAATTGTTAGGCCACAAGTTACAATCACCCATGTGCAAATAATTATTATTGATAATATTATTGAACGAAAAGCAATTATTATTTCTTGAGCGTATCTGAAACGATTTGTTACCTAAATAAGATGAAAACATCGCTGTATGCGTTTGTGTAAAATTTGTCTTGAATGTGAACCATGATTTTAATTAACATAATTTTGTATATTACGGATTACAAGCAGTTATAACAATAGTTTTTATTATATTCTTTTACCTTTGAACTTTTGCTTCGTTATTTAGTATCTGTACGTATTATGTCTTTATCACATGTCTTGATTTTATTCGTAAAACTTAAAACTAGCTTCAAACTAAAATTAAAAAAGGTTTGTACTTGCACATTGCAAATTGCATATTTCCCTTAAAAACAATCTTGTATTTTTTAAAAATAAATTGTTATTGATTTATCTTATTATTCTGAGTAAAGTGAATTACAGGATTTTTTATTTCAAATTTTGCTATTAAAATTTTTTTAATATGTTTGGAAATGAGGGTTCAATTAAGGATTTGGTAAGCGTAATGTGAAGCCTCTACATGTCAAAAGTCAACTACAGGAAATAAGGTGGAAGAATGAAGGAAAAATAGAGAAAAGGGACTATACTCTCTACTACAGTGGAACTCCAGATAAAGCGGGACAAAGAGGTACAGGCTTCTGGGTCGGTCGGAAAATTAAAAACAGATTCCTGGATTTTGAACCGGTCAACGATAGATTATACAAGCTAAGGTTAAAAGGGAAATATAATAACCTAACCCTCATCTGTGTATATGCGCTCACTGAAGCGAGTGAAGAAGAAGAAGAAGTGGAGGTCTTATACAACACTTTAGAGAGACAGTCTATTATAAAACGAATAAATACGATACACTGATCGAATACTGGAAGATATCAGTATGCACTATTCTGGGCATAACGCACGTGAATTCTATAAAAATATTAGACAAGAGAGCGAGAGATACCAACCTAGACTGCATAACATTAAAGACAAATCAGGCGAAATATCATTTATTGCTCTATAACACGAAAAAGATGACGTGCTAATTCCTGGATCTTTACCAAACAAGTACACACCAAATAAAAATAATTATGTTTTTATTAAAAAGAATAATGGTTATTAATTTTTATAAATAATAAAAGTAACGTTTTATTACCTTAACAGTTTCACATGTTGCCGTACGCAGTCGATGATGCCGTAGATGTCGGTGACCGTACGAAATTGTTGCGACAATATTTCGAAACGCGCTGCCGCAAACCATATGAGAAGACCGACAAAACTACCGACGCAAACGATGGAGAAGCACTGCCAGATAGCGAGGAATTGATGTAGAAAGATAATGGTCTTCACCGGTTCATGTTCCACGTCGAAAGGGTACTTTGCATCTGTAGGGAAGAGCTGATCGGCCACTATCAGCGGTGCGATTCCCGTTATACACGCACCGAGAAAAACCGCCGCTGTGGAGCTTGCGTAAAACATCGCGCATCTATTGACGTACCGTTGGTAGAGCGTTTCCTCGTTTGGTTTCGCGCATTCGAAATTATGTTCCATCTCCGAAACTAAATACTGAAATTTAATTCGATTGTTCAAGTTTAATACGTACAGTTTATACTTGAATTATAAATAAATGAATAAAATCAATGAATTCGATATGTCCAAGTTATAGATAAATTTTCGCGAAGATATAATCTCGTTCCGAAATTACTGACAAACGGGTCAATAAAAAAGTATTTTATAAAATATTTATACAGCGTTGATCAACAATATTGTAAATAAATATTTATGTTGATAATATATCTTCATAAAGGCACACAAATAATGCACGAAGAACGAAAGATTGAAAATGAATTATCAAAAGTCTGATAGCATTATAGATATGAATTTCTTACTTGCAATCGGTCATATTGCAGCGTGCATTGTGTTATCTCCAGTGGGACTTGTATAAAGGCAGCCAGTAACACCCACAGCTTCGTTAGTTTTGGTAGATCGTAGTCATTACGATAAAGGGTGTACGATACAGTCACAATCAGTACAGCCATATTTATACAGAGCAAAGAGCGTAGAACTTTGAAGCGTATTACTTGAAATTTACTGGCGCTCTTTGAAAGTGGCCACGAAAAGGACAAGGCGATTACCAGTTTTGTAAACGCGATAGCAGTTTTCGGGGTTACTTTGCTCGTCATAATTAGATCGACAAATTCATCGAAAATATAATGTAAAACAATAATTTCAATCTATATTCGTTTACGTCGTTCTCTCGCGCTACATTGTTTCAAATAAAGTGTTATAGATTTCTTTCCACAGTCCATAGCGCGTAAATATTTGATGCATAATAGCATAATCGAATTATACATCTCATAATGTATGCATGTAAAATACTGCAGAAGAATGATATGCACTATAATTTACATGTATGTATAATGTTACTCAACTCTTATCACGGGTATCGTGAATATAACAATTTATAAGAGTTTTATATGAAAGAAATTTCGTAGTAAGCGTAATGTATATATTATAATACTAAAGAAAAAAATAGCAAGGTTCTTATATTTGTAATAAATTGCTACACACGATGATAATATACTATACTAAATTTTTAATATGCAATTTTGTCTAGCGAGCCACACAACGAAAATTATCAATAGCATGAAGAATACTCTCGCGTATCGTCATTTTGCGGAGATGTTTGTAATATTTGTAGACGTTGATACTCTGGGAAAAATAAAGACAGTTATAACCCATTTTGGGGCCCACCATTAGTAATCGAATTATTTGGATTGTTCGTAACTCTACTCTGGAAAAAATTTTGACCGTTTTTTGATGTAGTTAAGCAACTTAACATTTC